GCTAGAAGGAGAGAGACAGAGGGTACGAGTTGAAACAGGAAAGTGTGAGACAGAATTCAAAGAGCGCACTGTAAAGGCCCTTTTTTTTAAGCTGGAGAATCTCATTAGATTTCTCTAACACCGTTATAAGGCTTTTAAGGGCGGGAGCACTAAACTGTTAGATGCTACAATCAACCTGATCTGCAGAGCTAAAAAGCATCTTATTCTATTGAGATGAGGTGGAAAATGAGTATGAAAGGATATTAAGACGCTCGCTTCTCTGTCACATTATTAAAATAGATTTTTTTTCACATTTTTTGTACATGCAATTTTTTTTTTTTTGCACTTAAAGAACCCCATATATACTTATTCTGCCATTTTCTACTGTACACAGAATATGAGAGGGCACTTTGCTGTGTTACTGGTCAGTTAATTGGCCTCTCACGGCCAATGTAAAAAAAAAAAGTGTTTCTATCTCGATTCCTTTTTTTCTTTGAGTTGGTTGTGCCGGCTGTTTGTTTCATAATTGAATACATTATCAATGATTTGATATTTATTTAAGGCATCAAACCATTTGGAGCACTTTGAGTGAATTATATTAAAAGGAGAAATATATATAATTTTAAAGTGCTTCAATCAAAGTAAATACAAGCAACCAGCTATTATCTAAAGGTGGTCATAAAGCGTTACCTGCTGTTTCTTTGGTAAATGATATCAGTGAAAAATACAGCAGAGTTTACAAGACGACATTAAGGCAATAAGAAACAGCCAGGTAGCAGTCACACAAGCAGTTCCTCTGTGTTCTACTACAAGACATTTAGTCATCTAAAGATAAGGTAAGTTTACAATCTATGTTCAAGATGATAGGACAGATGGAGATTAACAGATACACACACAGTCTTCTATCAGCACACACAGATACGCACGCAAACTTCTAACACACCAAAGCTCTAAGCTACCTAAATGTGACTCTGAAAGTTGAAATGTTGGCTGTATAACACGATAAAACAATAATTGTTCACAAAGACCAACTCCTACTGACTCTGCTATTGGAGCCCAGGAGTAGCCAATGAGATGCGTACGTGCAATATGACTCATTCCCATGTTTTGGTCTATTTGTGCCGTTTGCATTCTCTGTATTTACACCCTATGTGCTGTACAGTATGATGATGATCTCAATGCATACATGTTGGCTTTGGTATC